CTGGGAATTTCTGATGAAGAATCACTGTACTTTTTGCCAAGCCTGCGTGAACAAGCTGAGTGGTGAAAAATCTTCTTTTTCTCGAGGTCCCTGCTTCCCCCCACAAGGGCCCCCGGCCCCCCGAGATGAGTTTTCCTACAGGTGTGGGGGTGGGATGAGGAGCTGTCATTAACCCCTCCGGAAGACCCCTGAGAGCTCCCCACGCAGGCATGACTCAGTTGCACCCTTTAGGAGGATAATTCGATTGATGACGGGGACAATTAGACTTGTGAACCTGACATCCCTGTTGATTCCGATGGTGAGGAAGGAAGCGAGAAGTCTATTTTTGAATCCCATCATCAATGACGAGAGATCGGTTCTGTTCGGGGGGAGCGGTGTGACCCCACGGAAGCCAACACCAAGTATGGATACAAACCAGCGTCTGTCCAGGCCCCCGGCTCCCCTCGTGGTATTTTCCCTCCCCGGGAGCCTGCTGCAGGGCTTGGGGGCCCGAGCTCCTTCTCCCCCGCGTCACTTGCAGGCCTGCATTGGGGTCTCCGGACACGTGCCGGCTCTGTGCCCCTGCGGCCCACGCGGGGCCCGTGCAGGGCGCGCCCCTCCGCCGCCACGTTCCCGGCACGGCTGCGCGAGTCCACTTCAGACTGAAGAGCCTTCTCTCTGATTGAACTTGAAACCCAGCCGTCATGTTCTCAAAAATGTAACAGGGTGCCTCTCATTCCCCTCCGTCCTCTGCCCCCGGGCCCCCTCCCCTTAGCAGGAAAAAACGAGAATTTTTCTCTCCAAAGGTGAAATTCAGGCTTGGAAAAATAATCCAAAGGGTGGCAGCTGAGCACCTCTTCGGTGTTTGCGTGAAACCCCACGGCCCCCAAGGTTGCAGAGCTGTCCCTGTGCAGAGAGGGAGGGCAGTGCCTTCCTGCTCTCCTCCAGGCCCTGTGGTCTACCTGCTCCCTGGGGCTGAGCAGAAGGCCTGGCGCCACTCCCAGCAGACCCAGGCTGCGTCCCAGCTCTGCTACTCACTAGCCGTGTGTCTCCCTCAGGGGTCTCCACGCCTCAGCCTGCTCCTCTCTGAAATGGGCCTTGCAATCCCCACCCAGCTCAGGCTGTGATGAGTCCCCGATGAGATGGGGCTAAACTGGAATCCACATCCGAGGGGGACGTCAGGGAGAGGCAGAAAAGGCAGTGCCTGCTGCCTGTGAAGCCCCTCACCTGGGGACTGTGGCTTCCTTGTGTGGGAGATCCCTCTGCAGCTGCCTCCAGGATGTCGCAGGTCTAGGACTCTAACTAGGCGACCTCGGCCTCTGGGCACTGGTCCTTGCCTTGGTAAGTGAGCAGCCCCTTTGGGCCCAGGGAGCTCCTGTCCCCTCTTGGAGGGAGGATGGAGAACACATGGGGGCAGGGGCCTCAGTTTTCTTTTCCAGGAGGACTGGATCAGCGGGGCTCAGGCACCCTCGGCAAACACAATCCTGTTTGGGCTGAAACAAAGCCTCGAGCCTGGAGCTCCTCAAGGGGGGCGGGTGGGGGCTGCGCAGAGGAGATCGGGAGGTAGGTGAAGCCCCCTGCCGCCCCCCACTGTGCGTACCCAGGACTAGTCTCCCTGGAGCTCAACTCTGCCAGCTTCCCTGATCAGCTGATTCTGCCTTTAATCAAGGGAGAAGTGGTCTGGGGCTGGCTGGGGGAGGAGTTAGGGTTTGGGAACCAGGGAGGGGGAGAGGACAACGGAGGGAGGGGGCGTGCAGGGGGAGGAAAAGGGCTGGAGACAACATTTCTTTGGTCCCCCCAGAAAACTTTCACCCACCACCAGCTCCTTTGCTGTTCCAGCGAAGCCCAGTGAGCTGCGCACACGCCCCTTGCTTTCAGCTCCTGCCTGGGGAGCCGCCGGTGCTGGGGGGATAGGGGGACCATAAGCAGAGCCGCTCAGCTCTATGGAAGCCCAGGAAGCCCAGGCTCTGCATTCCAATTTGACCCCACAGTTGACAGGTCCAGTCCCTGATACCTGTGGAGACTACCTGCCACACCACGCTGCGATGACCGCGGGTTGCCTGCCTCACCTCAGTGATCCCAGGGGCTGTACACAGAGGCTGGCTCTCTAAAGGACGGGGGAGGGGGGAGGGACGCACAGATAGAGCAGGGGGCATCTGACTCCTTCAGCCCAATGCTCCCCAGCCCCCAGGGTCTGCTTGCAAACAGCAGACTGTGCCGGCTTCTCCCCAAGGGACTAGATTGGCATTTTCGTGTTTTCTGTGCAGACTTAAGTCTGTGACAGTCACCAATCTCCCCTCCCTACCGCTCCTAAGCTACCCTTTCTCAGCGTCTGCTTGCTGAAAAGAATTCTGTGGCCTCCTGAATTTACAAATGCTTTATTGAGACTAGAGCAAACCAACAGAAAGCTCCCTGGCTTGTAGGTCCTGTTAGACAGGAAAGTCCCCTCCCCTCTCCAAAGCAGCCCTGCAGGGGCCCTTGTGGAGCGACCAGGCCCGAGGCTTCTGGCACCCCTTGCTCTAGCCGTCTGCGGCAGAGGCCCTGAGTTGCAGCTGTTGGAGGAAGGGATGGAAGGGGCTGTGGCCAGGCCTTGTAAGCACAGTGTCTTTCTGCTTCTAAAACCTGTTCCCTTTGGGGACAGGTGTGGCATCCCTGTTTATAGATAAGGAAACAGGGCTTGCAGAGGAAGTGACTGGCCCAGGGCCCTCAGCAGGCGCGGGATGGAGATGGGATTAGAGAGCAGATGTCCCTCAGCCAAGGGAGTGCCCTTTCAGTTTAAGCCTCTGACATTTGGACACCGACTCCCTTGGGTGAGAATGCCCTCCCCTGGCCTCCCTCCCTTTCCCCAACTGGGGAAGGCTGTGGGTTGGAAAGGACCTGGGTGGGGAAGGGAGGAACCTAGGCGGGGGGCACACTCGATGGCCACTGGGGCCCCCTTTGTGCTCCACGCAGTCCACAACCCCTCCCCGTGTGACTTTGGGAGGAGCCTGGGGAGCCCTGCTCCAGGGTGCCGGCCCCAAGATCCTCCACCCCTCCTTGGCTTCTGGCTGAGAACTCAGCCCTTCGGGTCTGCCTGCTGTATGGGATAATTTTGGAGGCTGAGGTCAGGGGCCTCAGCGGGAGGGAAGAGAGAGAGGTGGGTCAGGGAGACCTTGGCGACTGCCGGTGGATACTGGGACTTGCAGGCTTGGGCCTGTTGGTCACTCTTGTTCTACGCCAGAATCCTTGGACAAAAGACCTTCCATCGTTGGACTCAGTTTCTTGACTTAGGAAAGAGCCCACGGAAGAGAGTAGGGTCAGAGAAATACAGGGGCATGTGGTGAGCACCCCAACTGCTTCCTCCAGCCTGCCCCCAAAGCCCTTCCCAGAAGCCTCCACCTATCTAGGTATTCTGTGGATAACACTAGGGAAGGGACATCTTCCACAGGGGCTGGGGGTTTTCCTCCAGCGTCATCGGAGCCAGCCCAGAGCAGCTCCTGGGTCTCTGTCCAGCCAGGAGTCGCCCCTTCCCCTCCCTTCCTTGCTGGAGCACAGAAAAATCCATGAACCTGGGGGCTCCCTCTGGCCTGCCTTCCCACACCTATCCCTAGGATGGCAAACATGTCCTCAAACCCGCCAGGGACCAGTTAGATGGCCTGGAGGCCAAAGGACTCACCCCTAGGCTCAAAGTAGCAATGACCTCCCCCCAGCTCTGTGGGGAAGGGGAAGCTGTGAACGGCTGGGGTCGGGGTGGAGGGGGCCACCCCTCCCAGATCTAGGAGCTATATGCAATTTATGCAAATTAGGCATCTCAAATGACCCATGCAAAGATCTCCAGACCACCTGGAACTCTTCCCCAGGAGGTTAAACACCTTTAATCCCCTTTCAACCCTCTCCCTCCCTATCTTCCTGAGCCTAGGATCCAGCCAGGGAGGGAGGGGAGGCTGCCGAGCCAGCCTAAGGCTCTAAGCAGAGGCTGAGGCTGGGGGCTGGTGGGGAGGAGGGATGCCTTCGAGCGCCCCCTCTCCCCAGGAGCTCTGCTGGAGGGTCTCCCGTGGAGTCCAGCATCCCCCACCCCCATGCCCTGGGGACCACTGAGTGAAGGACTCCCGGTGGGTCTGGAACATGTGCTGACTGCCTGGTGGGCAACCCTGTGTGTGTGTGTGTGTGTGTGTGTGTGTGTGTGTGTGTGTGTGAGAGAGAGAGAGAGAGAGAGAGAGACAGCACATTGGTGAGGCTGCCCACACATGCCACTGTGGACAAAGACGGATGCGACTGTGTGTGTTTGTGTTGGGTGACTGCATATATGTGTTTCTGTAAGCATGTGGCCAAGAGTCTGTGATTTGTGAGTTTTGGGGACCGGGAATGTGTGCTTGTGGATATCAGGTGTGTGGCTGTAGCTACATGTGTGCTCAAGAGAGCGTGTGTTTGTGTTTCAGCATGACTAAGGCCCTTACCGTGATGCTGTGTGTGTGCGTAGGTGGATGTAACTGAATGTGTGCACGGGTGTCTGTATGTTTACAAGTGTATCTGTGTGTTTAGGTGTGCGTGTGGTTCTGCCTGTGTTTCTGTGTGGAGGGGGCCGCTACAGGTGGAGGACGCGCAGGGTTTCATAACTGCGTGTCCGCTCGTCTCCCTGCCCATGACTAAGCATGTGGTGCTCCGGCCTGTTTGTGTAACGCGTGTCTGTTGCAGTGCGTTTGTGTTGAAGGGTGTGTGTTGCTACAAGCGCATCTACGTTTTCCTGCCTCTCCATGGCGAGGGATACAGGGGGCATCAGGCTTTTCCTAAGTGTTTTTCTGTGTGCGTGTTTGGTTATGTGCGTAGTCCACATCTTGACAGTGTGCGTTTGTGTTTTTCTGGGCATATGACCCATGGCACGCGTGCTTGGGACCTTGGCAATGAGTGTTTCTGTATTCCGACTGCGCACTTGTGCTTTCCTGGGGGTCTTCGGCCCAGCCCGGGTTTGGTTCATGCGACTTGTCCTGAGCAGGCCCGTGTGAGCACACCCGTGTGCTGTCCCGTGTGCGCAACGTGTGCCCAACGTGCGCGAGGTACCTGTGCCCGTCTAGCCAAGAGTGCACCCGCGTGCGCGAGCGGACTTCCGGCCGCTGCAGTGGTGGGGGGCGGCCCCGTGGGGGGCTGGGGGTCACTGGGACTGGCCGGCGCCGGCCCCGTGCGCGCGAAGGCGGGGGCGGCGGGGCGGGAGCCGCGGGAGGGGGGGCGGTACGAAAAGGGCGGCGCGCGCGGCGGCGGCGGCAGCTCCTCGGCGGCAGCGGTGGAGAGCGCAGCGCAGCCCTGGCTTTCCCCTTGCTGCGTGCCCGCTCCCCCTTCCGCGTCCGCAACCAGAAGCCCAGCGCCGCCCCGGGAGCCGGACCCGCGCCCGCGCCGTTCCCCGGACCGCGACCCCGGCCGCCCCGCGATGACCGGGACCGAAGCCCTCCTGCCCGTCCTCTTGCTCCTGCTGGCTTTCGGCCACGGCACCTATGGTGAGCCCCCCGCCGGCGGCCCGGCTCGCGCCCCCTCTGGGGAAGCCTGCGACGCCCCGCCGGCCGCCCGGTGCCCTGCACGCCCCGTCCCGCGCGCCCCAACTCCCGCCCGTCCCGCCTAACCCTAAGCCCCGCGCGGTGCCTGCCTCGCCCTTCCCACCACCCTTGCATGCCAAGCCCGGTCTTGGGGTCCCCAGGAGGGCGGGGGAGGTGTGGGACCCCCTGCCCCTTCCCGCCCCACAGAAGTGGCGCTCGGAGGGGTGTCGGTGCGCTGAGAGAGGAGGTATGGAAAAAACGAGGTGATGTTGGGTCGTCTTCTGTGGAAATGCTGTGAGGTGCAACTTTAGGGTGTCTCTGTGTGCGCGTGTGGGAACAGGTCTGTGGGGGCTGTGGGGGGAGACTTTGCCGTCGTAGCCCCCGATTCCCAACAGGAGCCCTGTCTGAGCCCCTCCTGCGTGGCGCATTTCTCTAGGTAAGGGGCTGCGACACTTCTGTCTGCAGCGGCCATCTGTCTCTGACAGCGAGAGAGTTGCCCCCTTCCCGCAGCGCCCCCCCCCCCACTGCACCAGTGGTTTTGGGGGGGCTGTTTGGAAGGCTGGAGAGCTGATTGCGTATATGCGCATAGTAGGTGCCTGTTGAAGTGTCGAATCTCTGAACAGTGTTGCAGCCTCAGTCTGCTCTGCAAAACCCTTGTGGCGTAGTTGTTGGTAGTTGTTGGCGTCGTCATCTTTTCAACGTGAAGCATCTGGGGTCGGGAGGGGGGGAGTTTGGCCTGGGTGCCTGGCTTAACTGGGATGAACCTTAAAAAAAATCCAGATGCCTTACCTGTGAGCCCACCAGGTGAACCTGTCTAGGCTTTCCCAAAACTGAATACGTCAAAATCTGCTCCCCTTTCAGCTCACTTTGCAAAAGTGAGGGTTTGGCCGAACGCCCCGGGTCAGCATCTGCCCTGCACTGTTTCGCATCCCTGCTTTTAGGAGGGTTTGAGGTTTCATATTTTCTTTGGGGGGAAAAAGGTGTCTGTCCTGTTCCTAAGACCTAAGGAGTGTGCTGTGGTCTTCCTATAGCCAGGAACATGGCAGAGGTTTTTTTCCCTGCGTGGACTGAGCCACGTCCATGCATAGATGTGACGTGCCTACTGTGTGCCAGGCTGACAGGACCCAAGAGGGTTGTTGCATCCCTCGAGGGAAGCAGGGGGCCGTTACGGAGAAGATGGGCTTCGCCCTGGTCTCTGGGGCCTTGTGGGGTGAATTTTGTAACCTTTCTTGTGCCTCAGGAGCTGAATGCCTCCCGGCCTGTGACCCCTCACATGGACACTGTGACGAAGACAATATTTGCAGGTAACAGAGTGACTCCTCACAGGCAGCTTGTGGGGGCCAGAATCCTGGGGAGTCATGAAGTCAGGCAGAAAAAAGGTGGGGGCTTGGCCACTGCGGCAAACAGCTTCGTCACTCCTGCAGAAAACTGGCGGGGGTGGGGGAGAAGAGAGGAGGGCATGGGTGGGGGCTGTCTGCTTCCTCAAAAGTGGGGTGGCAGGAGAGCCCCTTGCAGGGTGAGACCACTGCAGGCCACTGCGGCAAAACGCAGCACTCTCCAGGGCTCTCGGGACGGGGGGGTCTTTTCTGTCTGCCTCTCTGTGTTCTCTCTTTAAGTTTTTCCATTCAGGTGACTGGTGTTCGCTTCTTGGGACCACTGGCCTGGCACTGTACAAAGACCCCCAAGGGCTCTCAGTTCACAGAACGTGGCCTGAGATCCCTCTCCACCCCTGCTGATCCCTCATATGTCCCCATCTTTCTTACCCCGACCCCTCAGGTGCCAGCCTGGCTGGCAGGGTGCCCTCTGTGACCAGTGCATGACCGCTCCTGGCTGCGTTTACGGAATCTGTGAAGAACCCTGGCAGTGCCTTTGCAGCGAAGGCTGGGGCGGAGAACTCTGCGACATAGGTTGGCACTCACCTTTGCTCACTGCTGCCCCCCGCCCCACCCCACTCTTTGCCTCCCTGCCCTCAGCCCCTAGCCCGGTGGCTGCCAGCCTCCCTTCCCCCATTCCAACACACCAGCGCAGCTGTATTGCGATGATATGTTTACACACTCCCTGCTGGTGCCAGATGCCTCCTCCAAGGTAGGGACTTTATTTTGCTCACCTGTGCACCACCAGCACCCAGCACCCAGAGAAAGCACTGGGGTGGGGGTTGGAGGAACTGCCTGTTGAATAAAGAGTCACAAAATAAACACATACAACAGAGCTGGAGGGGCCACAGACCCCAGGCAGCCTTGCCAGGTCACTAAAGCTCAGAGATGTCAAAGAGCTCAGGGGATCTTAGAGCTTATACTCCAAGAACGTCGTCGCACACAAGACCGTTGGGAGGCTGCGTGCAAGCAAACAAGTGGGGGAGGGGGTGCGGGGAGCAGGACTGCGTCAGGATCATGAGGACCGGGCTGAGGCTGTCAGGTGTGGGGGAGGCTGGGGGCTGGGAAAGGCTGGGAAGGGGTTAAAGTGCAGGTTGGTGTTATCTGTTGATTTCATTAATTTATGCAATCTTTGCCTCCATTACCCTGAGCAATTGAGAGTTGGCTGTCACTGCATTTTCAGGCTGCAGAATATTCACTTGAGCCCATTCTCATTTGGCAAAACCTGCCCTAAGGTCTGGGCAACTCTGGAGGCCTGGTCCTCGGTCCCCATTAGCAGAGATGTGTGGTACAAATAGGGAAACTGGGGATCAGAGAAGCAAAAAGGTCTGTCAAGGGATACATACATCGGCAGGCAGGAGAGCAGCCAGCTAAGACCCCTTCCCCTGGCCCCAGAAATAGGATTAATTTTCATCTGCGTCATCTGTGACTGCTTCTAACACCCTCCCTTAAGGAAAACCCAAGAGCAGGTTGTTGTAGCCCTGCCCCGTGTAGCCAAGGCAGCTGGGCTTTCACAGTGGAGCTCCCCCCACCCTGAATTATCTCCGGCCCTTACACCCCCCCAAATACGGCGCAAAGTCCCCCCCATAGCTGACTCATGCTGTGGCCAGCAGCTCTGACGCCCCTTACAGTGGTAGCAGCAGCAGCAGCGCTGAGCTGTTTGGGGAGCCAGGAGGTCTCAGCAAAGCCCCGCTGGGGATCAGGGTCAGCCTTTCAGCCTGGAGCCCACTTTCTTTGGTATCTGAACACAGCTACACCCGGGCTGGAGTTTCCAGACAAAACACCCCCCGGCCCCCCTGTGGGCCCTTGGCACTCTCCCTCCCGGCCAGGTGGATGAAGGCAGTGTGCTTGGGAACGGCTGGAGAGTCTGGGGTCCTGGAGAGGAAACAGCCTTCTCTCTCCCTTTTTACCCGTCTTTGAGGCTGTCTTGGCCACAGCTGCTGCCTGGCCAGAGACCCCCCCAACAGCCTTCTCCTTAGAGCAGCTTAATCTGCCCTGCTTTGGGGTTGAAGGCCCGGGAGGGTGACCCTTGGCTTGTGAGACTTGATGTTGTGGGGACAGCAGCGGGGATGGGCTGGGGGTGGTTGCTAGCTCTTTAGCTTACATTTAAGATTGCGCATGACAGGAGAGCCGGGAGCAGAGAATGAGGAGCCCGCTGCGGAGGTGCCGCATGCCGACGCTCTGCTGGTGCCGTCCCGTAAAGATAAATCCTCCTTATGTCCCCTTGCGCCACGCTGGGTTTCCACGGACGCCACAGGGTAGTCCGTCAACACGGCGTTCAGGCTTGCTTTCTTGACTGACTGCGGCCTCCCCTCCACGAGGGAGCAGGGTGCTTTGGAAGAGGGAGGACAGACACCTGCGTGGCACCAGGACACCCCCAGCCTCTGCCCGCCTTGACTTCTGTCTCTGGCTGGCCCTTGCTCTTTGGTTGGCAGGCGCAGCAGCTCAAATGACAGAAAGCCAAAGCTGAAAAGGTCCCTTAGAGACCGGCCAGGGAGAGACCCTCCATTTATAAGTAGGGAAACTGAGGCACAGAGTGGGGAGGAGCTGGACTCTGCTGCCGCACGGCAGCAGGTTAGACACAGGGCAAGACTAAGGTCCCCTCCTGGCCCCGCTGGGGAGCTGGGGTCTCCACCGTCAGAGAGCCCCTGACCCAAGGCCCCTGTGTTGAGCGTGTCCGTGGCTGCTGAGCCCGAATAATGAAGCGCGCATGACGGGAGGTGTGAAAAGGCAGTGGAAATATACCAGTGTTCATGGAAACCCGCGCTGTCAGAGCGCTCAATAGTTCTAATTTTCCTGCCTTCAAAAGATGCAGCCTTTTTATCGTGGCCCCTTTAGTTCAGAACCTCAGAGCAGAACGAGAGACTGCAGGGAGGAGGGGCAGTGCTGAGGCTAAGCCAGGTTTCTTGGTTCCCGATGGGGGTCTTTACGTCTTCATCTCCCCCCACTGCCCCTCTTTGATGGAAAAACAGGAAGAGCAGGTGGTTTTTTAAGGGTTGGGCTGTACTAGTCCCCCCACGTGAGAAGCTGGATATGAAATCTCCACTGTAGGAGACAGCGCTGGGGAGTGTTCGGGGGAGGGGCACAGCATCTGCAGCAGGTCAGGGACATGTTGCTGGACGTGAGAGGTGACCTGGTGCCAGGAGCGTATCAGTGACCATGATTTTTGGCCCATGACCTTACACAGGGAAGCCCCTTCCGCTTTCTGAGTCTCAGTTTATTCACTTTGGGGTTTTTATTGGGGGGATCACTATACCCTCTTACTCCGGACCCCAGTTGGTGGCCACAGCAAGCCACTTGGCAGCTCACTTGGGGTCCTTGTCACTTGCATTAGGAGGGGCCGCTAAGGTCTGGTCTTCTCTGCTCCCCTCCCCCCGCCCCACAGACACCCGACCTTGCAACCTGATGCCCTGTGCTCACAACGGGACCTGCGTGAACCGGGAAAATGGCCAGTACCAATGCTTCTGCCCCCTTGGATTTGCGGGACCGACCTGTGAGAGGACCCACGGGCCCTGTGCCGTCAATGGGTAAATATCCCCCCTCCCCGGCTGTGTGATCTAATGAATGCTGCTTCTGATTCCTGCTCTCCACCCCCTAAAGACCCTTTCCGCCTAACCCTGCTGGACCTGTGCCTGACAAAAGAGGGAAGTAAGTGCTCATCCCAGCAGCCCCATGGGGGGCCGTCCTAGCCCGGATATTTATGGGGGAATGTGTCATTTCATAATTTTTTCAAATGATCCCGAAGGCGATTTCATATTCCCCTGACGTCCCCGAGTCCTGATGTCTGTGAATGACAGTCGATTGGGATGGTGGAATGCTGCGCAGAACTGCATAATTTTCTAAAGGCAACATAATAAGAGATCAGAGTTCAGCGGGGCCCAGGCTCTTTGCGAAACCACTTACCATATTTTAGGGGGTGGTTTTTGGGAACCAGTGGGCTCTGCAGTTGGGTTTTCTGGGATGTCTGAGGAGGGAGCTGCCAGGCTGAGGAGGTGGGGAGGGGGGCTTCGGGGCACAGGAAGGGGTGGGCCAGCTCTCAGCTGCCCTCAGTGGGGAGGCGGCTCTGGTAATTCTCTGTGGGCGGACACTCAGAAAGGCCACTGCCCTCTCCTGAATCTCCCTGAGCAGTGCTCCGGGCAGCCCGGCCATGGCCCACCCTTTATCTCCTTGGCTACAGGGAGCCTTATCACTCTCCCCCTGGGATGGGGCTTAGACCGGGCTGGGGAGATTTTCACAGAGGACCAATCCAAGAATCCAAACTTCAACCCAGTCTTGGGCTGGTGCTGGGGGCTGGGAGTGTGTCTCCCCTTTGAGGAAACAGAGGCTAACATGCAGAATGAGTGTGTCTTGACCTGTGGTCCCAGGGTGGCACAGTGAGCCCAGTAGTCTGCACGACCTCTGGACAGACATTAATGCGGCTTCTGAAGACCAGTATTTGGCCAGGGTCAAAGAGAGGATGTGACACTTGAACTCCATTGCTGCTTATTAGCAAGAAGGGGAAAAAAAACACAACAGAGTGAGACCTTTAAAATATTTTGCTTTTCTCTTGAACAGACTTAAACCAGTCTGTCCAAATAGAGCCCACGGTCCTTGGAATTCCTCCAGAGCCCTGCAGCCTGAGCAGCAATGCTGATTCCTTGTGTCTGTAGCCCCCTCCTCCTGGAGGTCTGGCATTTACCAGATGACAAAGGGCTTGCTCATTTAAAAGCACTTACATCAAATGCTCCTTATGCTCTGCTGTGAGCAAACATCTTCAATTTGCGAGTCTACCCCCAGCGAAGGGACCACTGTTAACAGCTGGGCACAGATGCAGGTTCGCACGTGCGTGGTCAGGCCTCGTGTTTCTTTCACTCTGAGAGACCCTGGGGGTTTCCGCACAGTAGCTTGTGGGCCCACTCCACGGAAAGTAAAAGTACAAATAGCAATGCAGGGTGGTGGTGGACATAGGGACGACAGCAGGTCCTGGGAGGAGTGAGTTCTGCTGTGGCCACCAGGGACAGAGCTAAGGGAAGGGGGCTTGCTCTAGATCTGGGCTGTCAGTAACTTTTCCTCTCCCAGCCTCAGTTTCCCCATCTATCTAGTGACTAACCATCAGTCCTCTGGTTGGAGAGATGAAATAAGAGATGGGAGGGGACATGGGCATCCTGGCTTGGGAGGTCAGGTGTGTGCCACACTGGCATCGTGAGGGGGGTGAGGGGTGCACCCTGCCTCGAACAGCCGGTGAGCCCCTTGCAGACAGGCCTCATGGTCCTGGGCTACTCCCTGTGCCTGCCTGGCTGGCACTCCCTCTGTCCCTCCCTCCCTCCCTCCCTCTCTCCCTCCCTCTCTCCCTCCCTCTCTCCCTCCCTTAATATGTTTTGAGCACCTGCCCTTTTGTCAGGCTGGGACCTTCTGCGCAAGTTTGCGATGTGTTGATGTGTCGCGAGAGAGTGGGGCCAGGCGTCTGCCCCCACCCGACCCCTGCAGCACTGTCCTAGCCCAGCCCGCGAGGGTCCTTCACCGTGTCTCCGTTGTGTTGCAGTTCCCCCTGCCAGAACGAAGGCGCCTGCGTGGATGATGAGGGCAAGGCCGCCTATGCCTCCTGCGAGTGCCGCCCTGGCTTCGCAGGCAATTTCTGCGAGATCGTGACCAACAGCTGCATCCCCAACCCGTGCAAGAATGACGGCGTCTGCACCGACATCGGGGGCGACTTCCGCTGCCGCTGCCCGGCCGGCTTCATCGACAAGACCTGCAGCCAGTCCGTGAACAACTGCGCCGGCATCCCGTGCCTGAACGGGGGCACCTGCATGCAGCACTCCCAGGTGAGCTTCGAGTGTCTGTGCACGCCCGAGTTCACGGGTCCCACCTGTGTCAAGAAGCGCGCGCTGGGCCCCCAGCAGGTCCCCCGTCTGCCCAGCGGTTACGGGCTGACCTACCGCGTGACCCCCGGGGTGCATGAGCTGCCAGTGGCAAAGCCCGAGCACCGCGTCCTGAAGGTGTCTGTGAAGGGGGTCAACAAGAACACCCCTCTCCTCACTGAGGGACAGGCTGTCTGCTTCACCATCCTGGGCGTGATCACCAGTCTGGTGGTGCTCGGCACCTTGGGCATCATCTTCCTCAACAAGTGCGAGGGCTGGCTGTCCGCCCTGCGCCATACCTGCACTCTGCGCAAGAGGAACAACGTGCTCCTGCATTACCGCAGCGGCGAGGACCTGGCGGTCAACATCATCTTCCCGGAGAAGGTCGACATGACGACCTTCAGCAAGGAGTCCATGGAGGAGGCGATCTGAGCGGCGTCCCCACAGCCCCCCCCCGCCCCCATCCTGGGGGTTCCGCAGAGCTCGCTACTTGCGGTCTGTCCTAGTGTTTGTGGTGGCGTTCACTATACTTTGTGTCGAATCTGGTGAACGCTATGCTTGCGTATATTGTCCTTGTGTTGCCGTGTGACAAACGCAATGCTAAAAGATCTTCTTTCTCTCAATTAATGCATGCTAAAGAATAATAAGAATTTCATCTTTAAATAAGTAAAAGAAATAAGCATGTTATTCTAAACTTAAACTAAATGAAAAGAATCAAAAAAAGACCAAAAAAAAACAGGGAAACAGCCAGGACTCGGTGCCGACATCCCTTTCCAAGGGGTCTCGGTCACAGGGTCCTCGTGAAACCGTAAGAATTGCCCATGACCAACCACTGTGACAAAAGCTAAAATCTCTTTCGTTCGTTAATTCTCACACGCCTTGTCCAACGTGCACTCACATCAGTTCAGCACTGCAACCCTTAGATCTTTCTGGTTGATTTGAGATTTTGCAGAGTGCAGCGGCTGTGTGTCAGGCAGAGAGAGTCCCGGGTTGGCTGCTGCGGGGCTGGGACCCTGTCCCAGCTCTGCCACTCGCTCGCTGTGTGACCCTTGGCGAGTCCCCATCCCAATTCCGGGTCCACCTTCTCGCCCCTCTCGAGGGAGGGGTTTGAATACCAACCATCAAGGTCCTCTCTGGCTCTAAAACTCTGAATTAGGAACGAAGGGAGTATGCACCAAAATACTTCCCGACCCTAAAATTGAGGATCCCATGGAGACTTAGTCTCATCGTGGGATCCCAAGGTTTCGGCCTATCCTGGTCGTCCACTTGATGTTGAAATTGCGTTTCTCAGAGTGGGGGGCGGCCTCCTGGCCCACCTCCTGTTTGGGAAGAACCGGCCCCTTTGGTCATAATGTGCCATCTGGAGTTGCCACTTAGGCAGCCAGCCCCCCGACTCCCAACTACTACCCACCCAAAGCCCCAGCACTGAACGTGCCTCTTGCCCTGTAGTGTAGAGATGTCCCTTGAGATTTAAATGCACCTCGAACCGCAAGTGCCCCTGGCGAAATCTGAGCAGCAACACAGCCCTCACCAAGGTTTTCACAGTGTTTAGTGGAAATTGTTGCTTGTGAGGCGTTTATTAGTCTGTGGCAAAAGTGGCATAAGACCTGGCCGACACAGCCATGGATTTACATTTGTGTTGCTGAGTTAATAATACTCAGATCCGAAAGACCTAGCCAGCTTGTGAATTATGAATTTGCCTTTTTTGTAAACAGAGAGCATCTATTTTTTTTGCAAAAATGGAAAGAAATGGGACAGAGCTCTGTTTAGCTTTCCAGCTCTCAGGGTTGGCCAGCTAAACAGCCCTTGGGTACCAGTTAGAAATATTTTGCTGCTTAAATTATGTGGATAGAGATCTATATTCTTAGCTTTCTTATGATCTGCCGTGTTTACCTTGCTCTAAGTGCTTATTTCTTAGTCGTACCGTCATTCAAACCAGTCACCCTCCACGCAGCTTCAGTCACGTCATCATCTTCACGAGACCGACCTCACTGAGGTCATCATCACTCGGCCACCACCCAAGTCCTGACACCCTGACCCGAGCCACTGGTCCCTGTCTCCCCAGTCCCTCCCCACCGGCAGCCCTCGGTCCTCCCTCACCGTCCCCAGCTCCCAGCCTCACCCCTAGATCCCTCCCGATTTCACCCCAGCCTTCCCACCCTCATCCCCAGTTTACCCTCACCCCAAACCCCTGACACCCCGGCCCCCCGAGGTCACTGCCGAGCCCCTTTCCACCCCAAGCTCCTGTTGCCGAACCCGGCACCCTTCTCGTCCCCAGGGCCGTGGCTCCCCCACCCCAAGTCACTCAAGTCATCATCTCATCTAATTTTGAGTTGGTTTTAAAAAAACTAAAAAAGACAAAAAAAATGAATTGTTGGCATGGTCAGGCAGTCGGCTGGTTCCGTGTCTGGCCTTCTCAGCGTGAGACCTTGACTGAGCTTGCTAACGATTCTGTTCCTCAGTTTCCCCAAATGCGGAATTCTAAGAGTCATGAAACCATCAAATTCTTTCTTCATCTCAGTGACGTAGGGAACAGCCAGGTCCCCTGAAGACAAGGAAGAGGGGTCACGCTGGCTGTTCATCCTTGACTGGCTCCTCATCAATTCATTGGTTCATCACCCACCCTTCATCGGATCAGAAAGCATTTCCAAGCCCAGTGCTAGGCAGTGTCCGTTTAGCTGTGGGGTACAGTCTGGAGGGGAGGGGACACACAGCTGTCCCCAGGGTGCCCAGCGCAGTGCAGGTAAAATTCCGTGGGCGTGGAGGGTCCTGAGCAGACGCCTCCCTTAGAGTGCCACCATCTCACCTTCCCACGTGACAAATTATCGATTGCCAGCACACGATGAGGCCGCCCCACCCAAATTCCGCAGCACCCACCCACACGCACCCACAGTGCAATCGGAGCAGTGTCAGCAGCACTCACCACGGTCTTCACGCCATGCAGAAATGGTCCATTCCATACCTATGGTTAACCAGGTTCTGCTGAGAGTGTCGGGATCTTGACCGCCCATCCACACTTCGTGTGTTTGGTGTAGTATGTAGTTTACGAACGAACGGAGAAGTTAAGGACAGCGGTCTAAGACATGTTCTCTAATTCGGTCCCAAATTGTGAGAGGAGGAGGAGGAGTAACGATAATTTTGTAACCAAAAAGTTAAAGAAATGTCATATCGCTCTTTTTAACTTTCCCGTTTATTTCCTTTTCCCCCAGACACGCAAAAAATGCTTGTTTATTGCGAAATAAACAAGAAAGGGCTAGTTAATCTTGTGTCTGTTTCTTTGTTTATTGCGCGCCGGGCTACACTTGTCCCTTCTGGCAGCGGCCTGAGAGCCGGCAAGGAGGGTGGGGGTCCCCGCCTTCGAGGGCCCTGCTTGGGCCCAAGACTGGCCCTTCCCCTGTGTCAAGGGTGGGGGCTGTGCCCACCAGCCTCTGTGCATCGCCCCCGTCCCCAGACCACACTCTGGGTGTTCGGAACCCCCGGGGTTTTCTGCCCAAAGGGTCCTGAGTCCACCTCCAAGACCCTTCCTGTCTCCTGAGGGTGCTGTTTGTGGGTGGCCTGGACGGAGCTGGGGTACGAGGGTGATGGGGGCAAGGAGTTCCCCCAGAGGGGCAGGCTGAACTCCCGGGATGAAGAAGCCCCAGTCTCATCCCTCAGCCCTGCTGGCCCAGGAGGCTGCCGTCCATTTGGGGCCCATCTCCCATCCCCAGGGCCCGTCCCTCCTCTCTGAGACTCTCCGTGGCCAGGCAGCTGCCACTACCCACGAGGCTGTCCAGGCCCAGACCTGGGTGTCCCTGGGACCCTTCCTCCTTTGTCCACCAGAGCAGCCACTTCTCTGCTCCTCCCCGTGTCCCTCCAACCTCGGCCTCGGCCCCCACTGCTGGGGCTCAGGCTCACCCCTTCCCTGGGCGCCTCTCTGGTCTCCTCCCCATCAGCTTAACGTGGCAGAGCACACAGAGGGACAAGAGGGGGTTAACCTTGGAGATGGGCACTGTTCCAAGACCTTTATAGGTGATAATATGACAATACTGAGTTTCCTGAGTTAATAAATGTAGAAACTTCTATGAAGGGGGTGAGTTTTTCAGGACAACATCAATCCTCTAAGTCCCTCAGTGCAGCCAGCGGGAACAGAGCAGTCACCTGGGAGAAGACCCCTCATGGGCAAGGTCCTGACTCGGGGTCTGCAACATTTGGCACTTTGCGGGGACGGCGAACGCCCGGCTAGCAACACTGTTCCACAGCAGAGAAAAGTAAGAGACAAACATCTTCCACTTCAGATTTCAAAGCTAGGAGAAGCCCATGCTAAGGCCTGACAAAGGCCGTAACACTTGAAAAGGAAAGTCACTGTGCTCACCCCTGAGTAGACAGACAAAAATCCTCCGCGGCAGAACAACACGTAGAAACAGCCAGGTGTTTTAAAAAAAATCCTGATCACGAAGAGCCTTGTCTAGGAAAGCAGGTTCCACCTCACATTAGTAAATGCATTAAAAGATGATAAACACTGGAGTGGCCCAGGACGGAAGAGACTGGGATGGGTCGCCTGGAGTCCCTGCTAGACAGCCCAGGAGTCAGGCTGGGACCTGGGAGAAGAAACGTGGTGACAGGCCCCGTGGCCTCTGCCGGCCCAAGGGTGGGGAAGGCCTGGAGGCGGGGGGCGGGTGGGGGCCGAGGACTGTGCTGTGAGGGGCCTTTGCGCTGCGGCCAGGGCTGGGGCAGCCGCGGAGCATCCCCAGGGGACTCCAAGTGGGGGAAAAGGCACCCGCAGCACCTTGGGAAGGTGGGTGGAAGGTTCCTGAAGGAGAAGGGAGGAGGGACAGGGAATAAAGAGGGGGAGGGCCCTGTGGGCAGCCCAGTCCAGACCGCAGGGCAGCTAACCGGGCCCTGGGTCTGGGGGTACCTGGGAAGCTGCACTGACGGTCTCAGGCCCGGTGACATTCTCTCTTCAGTGACTCTCCCACTGCTGAGGAAGACGGAGGCCCCCGGCCTCCATATCACCCAACCAAGAACCTTGTTTCATTAAACCCACCTCTCCTGTTCACAGGAAGGAGAAAGGCCGGCCCGCTTCACAGCCGGGCGGGAGTGAGAAGTCCCAGCTAATTCAGAACTGCCCAGATAGCTCCGTCCTGCTCAGAAGTGCATCTGGCTACGGATACGGCTGCACCACGACCATGTTGAAGGTGCAAAATGCAAGGGTTGGAGAAATCTTAACCCAAAAACAGGTCATAAGAAAAAAATATAAAATACCAGTGCATTAGATGCTGCAGGGAATACATTTCTAACCTAAAAAAAAAATCTTAGCAAAGTAGGAAAAGTACATACTTCCTCAATGTCATAAACTGATGTTTGCCAACCCGCAGGTCAATGAAACCTAAAGACAAGTAAGGCCGCGCGTCCTACAGCAGTTAAGGGCACTGGCTTTGAGCGGGAGAGGCCTGGATTTGCATTTTGCTGTCTCCTTGGGCACCTCATACCTTGCTGTCTGCTTCCTCATCTGCACAGGAGTAGATAGCAATTAGATATGGAACACAGTTAGCATCACTATTGTTCTAACACCTCTGGCCAGCGCAATAAGAAAAAGCAAACCATTAATAGGAGATTAAATGATTATTGCCTACCAAAAAAAAAAAAAAAACAATGTATAGAGAATGACCTGAAGAAACAAGAGAAGGC